AAAAAATTTCACCACCGCGGGGAATCGAACTCTGGATTTCTATTTGTAAGTCGAGTGCTTTGACCACTAAACTATATGCTTCCTCTTTTTTTGTATGTGTGTGTGTATGAATTTAACAGAAAATAAAAAAACGAAACAAAACAAAAAGAAAAAGTAAAATTACAGGAAAAATTTCGTTTTACATCAAAGTGAAAAGTTTTGCAGTTAATTGTATATAGAGTGCAACAACACTGGTATTTATCGCAGAGAGGAATTGGAATGAGTAAATAGTTAAGCCGACTTCATACTGTGAGAGAGTAGGAAGCAAAGCCTGGGGGCTTTATTTTTATTTCAAGGGAATTTATTTAACCTCTCCTCGCGTTGTATATATATATATATATATATATATATATATATACACACTTTGCGCACAGGAGTATTAATATATCTTTCTCGCTACCACAGAGAAGCTACTTACGATCATCATGAAAGTACGGCTACGTGAACTCTGGTAGTACCTGTGCGCGAACTAAGTACCTCCCGGGGCGGTTCTCTCTCTCTTCTATGCATACATATATATATATATATATATATATATATACGGATGCTGTGCTGGATCAGCATCAGCGGGATCTTCTGAGATCAGACACAACCTCAAGTTCCCTTATTAACTGAATAATAATTCCACTATAGGACAACCAATATTATTTCAAGTCCCTCTCTCATTCTCTCTCTCTCTCTTTCTTTCTCTTTTTAACGGATGGAAATTAATTTGCCTTCTAAAATATTTAAACACACAGAAATTCTCAGAGTGAGAAAACACTTGGGATTTATTTTATCATCAACAAGATTTACGATAATTTTATTTATACTTGAATTATTTCAATGAGAAAATTTTTTATTTTGTAAAATTTACTACCCTTGTGAACTAAGCTTAAAGTAGAAATTGTTTCCAAACTCTGTTTAATGATGCCGTGTGAATGACACTTAACACAGAGGTTTCCAATAATGATCACTAATGTGAATGAAGCTTTATGTATTTTGTACTGTGAATGACACTTAAGATAGAGGTTTTCCAAATTAATTATTAATGTGAATGAAGCTTTATGTATTTGAACTGTGAATGACACTTGACGTTAAGGTTCCCAACCGTAGGGATTAATTTGTGAATGACACTTTACGTATTTCTGTACTATGAATGACACTTAATGTAGAGGTTCCCAACCTTGGGGATTAATGCCGTATTAATAACACTTTACGTATTTTTCCACTGTGAGTGATACTTAACGTAGAGATTCCCAACCCTGCTTACTGATATAAAACGAAATATCTATCAGTCAACAGGGTTGGGAAACTGTTTGTTACGTGTCACTCACAGTACAAGAATACGTAAAGTGTTATTCATACGACATTAATCCCCACGGTTAAAACTTTTATTTCAAGTGTATTGGGAACCTCTACGTTAAGTGTCATTCACAGTACCTAAAATATTCGCAGTACAAAATACATAAAGCTTAATTCATAACAGTAATCAGTATTGCTAACATCTACGTTAAGTGTCATTCATACGGCATCATTAACCACATGAAAAAATGATAAAAATTTCCAAATTCACAAATGAATAACAAGAACCTAATAATAAATTTTAAACCTAACCTAAAAAAATTCAGTTAAATGAGGTAATATTTTTCTAATTTTTCTGCAATAACGAAGAATAAAATAAGAAAAAAAGAAATAAGGTTAAATTCAATAAAAAAAAACAAAATAGAAAAAGAAACACTGATTCGAATTCTTCAAGCTAAAGTGCAATATTACCAGAGAAATTCATTACTGGAGAACACCCCCCCCCCCCCGCCCGCCCCAACGCTTTCGAAAAGGAGAAGGAGAAAAGAAGGAAGTGAAAAAGACTGAGGAAAAGGCGAAGAGTTGCCAGTTGATTTAATTGCAAGTCAGAAAGACATAAAGTGAAAGAAGAGCGAGTATACGAAGGGTGGGGTGAAATCGGAAGAGAGAAGGGAGGGGGAGAGCTGAAAAGCTATTGAGAGAAACGAGGAATCAGAAGGGGGTCGAAGTTGATAAAAAGGCGAATGCCACGTTGGAAGAGATGCGAAGGTAAATTGCCTCGAGATATTTAATCCCAGGGAAAAGGGTGATCGTTTATTGGCTCTCTCTCTCTCTCTCTTTCTTCGTCATTCTCCACTCATGATAGTGTGTGAGCAACGAAGCGCAAGGTTCGATGAAATAAGTTTCTCCAAAGGATCGATGGGCAATCGCGTTAAGCCATCTTCGCGCCTCGTTATCCTTTGTTTCCATCGTCAGAGAGCGACGCGACGGCCACCGCCAAGTTCCGTTTATATATATATATATATATATATACATCGAAAAAAACCAACTCACGTAATCGACTTTATTGCTTTCACTCTATATACACAACCAGGTGTCGCGTCAACCATATATACTACTCTTTCTCACGGTTTTTTTTTTAATTTAATTTTTTAACAAAAAGATAAGGAATACAAAATTCTTCTCCAAAAAAGTGTTTGAAAAATAAAAAAAACCTGCAAAAAAATTTTCTTTTAAAAGTGTTTGGAAAATAAGTAAACATATTTTTAATTTTTCATAATCAAAACAAAAAAAGGTTTTTTTCCTTTTTGAGAATTTTTTTCTATTTTTTTTTCGCTAAATAGATTGTAATTAAAAAAAGGAGGAGACAATGAAATCCTTGACAGTCGAGTGACTTTTTTTTTCTTGCGGTTATAATGAGATGATGGTGAATGCATCTCAGCGTACACCGCATCGTTATTACTCGGTGTGCTGAGGTCAGTCTACGTGACCGACTTGATATTGCCAAGCTACCACCATTCACCATTATATATATATATATATATATATACCAAAGCAATAACGCGCCACCGACACCGACTTTCTGGCGGCGGCGATGCTGCTGCCGCCTTCCCTTTTATTCACTCAAAAAGATCCCTTTTTTCACCAAAGAAAATGAGACTTTAAGGGAAACAAAACAGAAAGAAAGGAGGAAAAAGAGATTCCCTACAGAAACTGTCAATATTTTTTTAATTAAATAATTTAAGAGAATCCTATTTGGTAGCAAAAAAAAATAGAAGTAAATCCCTAGAAGAAAAGTATTTTTGGAAAGTATTTTATAAAAGTGTTTGGAAAATTTAAATTTAAGATTTTGAGTTACCTAACCTAACATAAACTAAGTAAAACTTCACCTATACGTACCTAACCTAACTAAATCATAACCTAACCGTACGTAACTTAACCTAACTAAAGCTTAAACTAACTAAAACCTAATTTTAGGTAACCTAACTAAAACATAACCTAACTGAAACCTAACTGAAGGTAACCTAACCTAACTAAAATATAACCTAACTAAAGCTTAACTATAACTAAAAACTAACCGTAGGTAACCTAACATAACTAAAACCTATCCGTAGGTAACCTAACCTAACTAATACCTAACCTAACTAGTACATTACCAAACTAGTACATAACCTAACTAAAACTTAAACTATCTGTAAGTAACCTAATTTAACTAAAATATAACCTAACTAATGCTTAACTAACTAAAACCTAACTGTAGGTAACCTAACATAACTAAAACCTATCCGTAGGTAACCTAACCTAACTAATACCTAACCTAACTAGTACATAACCTAATTAGTACATAACCTAACTAGTACATAACCTAACTAGTACATAACCTAACTAAAACATAACCCAACTAAAACTTAAACTATATGGAAGTAACCTAACCTAAATAAAACCTAACCTAACCGTACGTAACCGAACATAACTAAAACTTAACCTATCTGCATTTAATCTATCTAAAATCTAGCAAAACCTAACCAAGCCTAACCTAACTGAAATAATAATTCTAAAAAGAGAAGAAAAGAGGAACAGGAAACAATTTTTGTCTTCCGTTCATCTTTTTTTTCGTCCATGAAGTAGATGAAAAAAAAATTAGATTATGTATGGGAAACGATAACGAGTAGTATTATAGAAAATGATTTATTAGTTACAATAATAAGTCCTTGCAACCCTTGCGCTCTAAGAACTGCCTAATCAATTCCTCTTTCTTATAATCTAAATAGAGCGAGGGAGAGAGATAGAGATAGAGAGATAGAGAGAGAGAGAGAAGTATATATATATATATACCCTATATAAACGGGGGGACAATGTCGCGTAATTTTCAAAGACTGTGTGCCTGAATGCCTCTCTCTGGCAATTCAATTGGCCTGAGGGTGCTCTCACTGCAGTTTAATTTGATTCTCACCATAGTGGTGTATAAATGAAAACACGTCGTCCAAACCCCTTCTGTTTCGTCAGCGAATCCTTCGCGAAATATACTGTAAGGGTCGTTGCTATACTACAAAAAAAAAAGAACTGCACACGCTGCACTTTTAAAAAAACCGAAATATCACTATTTTTTTAACCCTTAGGAATAATTTTTTTTTCTATTACCTCTAAAAGTTCCACAATACTTATATCTTTTAAAAAAAATGTTTTTTCTAAATTATCAATTTTCGTTTAGAAAAAAAATTTTATTCCTAACCTCAAAATGGATGGGAAATTCGAATTTGTAAATAATAATAAATTTCCGCCTCTTACGTAGAGAAAAAAAAATTTATTTGATTCAAATTTTGAATTTTTCATAGAATTTCATTACATCGAATTTTCTTTTAGCTATAAATTTTGTACGAATTATTTTTTCAAATTTCTGATTGGTTTATTTTAAAATTCACGCCCAAAAGTTTGTGACAAATTTATTTGATTAATAAAATAACACCAATTATTTGAATCAAATAAATTTAATTTTTTTCTGTATTTTTTTTTGTATGTAATTTTTTTTTTTTAAATATAATTAAATCGCTGTATGGCTTTATAAAATTTTCATTATATATAAGAAATCAGCGAATTGAGCCGAAAATGTAAAGGGATATATATTATTGACGATTTGATATCGAGGGTTTCTTTTGAAAATATCTTTCAATACTTACCATACATCTTGCCCTCGTCTGAGAGGATAATTTTGCGTCGACCGCATGGCGGATATATGGTGAGAGCTTCCTGGAAGCTCTGCTCGATATCCGGTGACCACACTCCCTCCGCGTCCGCCGCCGACAGGTCCTTCTCGTCCTGAAAATCCATGGAAAAAGAAGCCGATTAAAGGAAAATCCATTTGGAGAAAAAAAAATAAGAACATTCAATATTTTCTCCTCCCAATAAAAATGTAGTTAATTTTTAATTTAAATTTTTTTTTTTAATACTTTTCATAAATTTATTTGTTTAAAGAAAAAGGAATATTAAATTTAAAAAAAAAACTTCTTTATTCTAAGTTATTGAAAAATTGAAATTACACTTTATGTATTTTTTTACCTGGTGAATGACACTGCTTTGTAGTGTGAATGACGCTTAACACAGTGGTTACCAATACTGATCACTAATACCGTGTGAATGGAGCTTTACGTATTTTTTACTAATGTGAATGACACATAACGTAGACGCCCCCCAATCGTCGGGATTAGTGTCGTATGAATGGTACTTTAAATATCTCTTTACTGTGAATGAGACTTTATACATTTTTTTTGTACTGTGAACGACACTTAACATAGAGGTTTCCCAACATTAATGTCGTATGAACGACACTTTATATATTTATCTACTGTGAACGACACTTAAAACAGAGATTCCCAACCCTGGCAACTAATATCGTATGAATAACACTTTACCTATTTCTGTACTCTGAATAACAGTTGGGAACCTCAGTGTTAAGTGTCATTCACAGTACAGAAATATGTTAAATGTTATTCACACGTCATTAATCCCCACGGTTTGGAATTTTGACTCTTATTTATAGTAAAGAAATTAGTAAAGTTTTGGTCATATATTGTTAGTGACCAGGGTTGGGAATCTATGTTTTAAGGGCCATTCACAGTAGATAAATATATAAAGTGTGGTTCATACGACATTAGTCTTTGGAACTTTAAGTTTCATTCACAGTATAGAAATACGTAAAGTGTTATTCACATGATATTAGTGACCAGGGTTGGGAATCTCTGTTTTAAGGGTCATTCACAGTAAATAAATATATAAAGTATGGTTCATACGACATTAATCTTTGGAACTTAAAGTTTCATTCACAGTATAGAAATACGTAAAGTGTTATTCACATGATATTAGTGACCAGGGTTGGGAATCTCTGTTTTATGTGTCATTCAGAGTATGGATAAATACGTAAAGTGTCATTCACACGAAATTAACCCCTCCACGGTTCGAAATTTTTTATTTCTAATTTTGATAAAATTTTGCTATTTTCTAAACAATTTTAAAGAAAAAAAAAAATAATTTTCTCAGTTTCAATGACCCATATCCTTTAGAAAAAAAACAAAGATACAATCTCTCTCTCTCTCTGCGTCTCTTGCAAAGGCAGTAGAGGAATATTCGAATCTAAAGAGGTGGAACGTGACTTGGATTTTCGATAATCGCGTGTGTAACTGTGTACTTCCCATTCGCTAATGTTCCGTGTAATCCTCAATTTCTCGACTCTTGTTTCTACATATATAGGTATATATATATATATATAAACAAAACGAGAATCGTGAGCCCTTGATATTCTCTTCTTGGGAGGAAATTTGAGAATTTTGTTCTCTCGATTCAGTTAACGTTGATGGGCAAAAGTCAATGTGTACCCTTCTCCCACCCCCCAAAACCCAAAGAGTATTATAATAAAAGGAGAAATTGCTTCTCTCGTGCAGGTGTAATCGGAAATTTCATGTCAAAAATTGGAGAATAGAAGATCCTCATTTTCTCCACGAATTCTCATTATTGTAATTCTCATCTCTTTTTCTCTTTATTTAATTAACTTCCAAGCACCATTTTCTGACAATTTGCTTCGCGATTACATTGTGAGAGGAGAAATTTTTTTTTTAAATTCGTATTTTCGATAGTTTTTTTTTTGCTAATTCAATTTTTTTCCGTATTTTTTTTTATTTTAATATTTAGTTATAATTACAAATAGTTAATTAGTTAATACTAATTTAATTAAAAAAATTTCTGCAATTTTTTTTTATTAATTTATAACTTTTAGTAATACGCACAATTTGCGGCTTTTGTAATAAATAAATTTGAAGAAATATAAATTGTTTATACGAAAAAAAAGACTTACCTGCCATGGAAAAAAATCTTTATCTGAAACAGCGATATGTTTGTCTAGAATAGAGAAAATTTTCGCTGTTTTAATGAAACATATCGCTGTTCCAGTAAAACTTATCGCTGTTCTAGGTGAAGATTTTTTTCCGTATAAAACAGCGAAAAGTTTCATTATATTAAGAAAAGTTTTACTTATTTCAATTAAAATCTTTCTCTATTCTAGTTAAACATTTCGCTGCTTCAGGTAAATATTTTTTTTCCGTGATTTATAAATTTATACATTATATCCAATTTTTTGACATTCATAAAAAAAAAAAATTAAAAAAAAATATTTATTATTTACAAATTTATATACGTAACGTAAAATTTTTGGCTATTATAAAAAAGAAAAATAAATTTGAAAAAAATGATTTATTACTTATAAATTGATACTTACATCACTGATCTCCCCGACGTCCAGGTTTTTCGTATCCGAGCCGGAGCCGTTGGCGTCGGGCGGCGGCCCGGAACTCGCAGGGGTCCACGGCGAGGAAATGGTGTCGGCTGCAGCCACCGCACTGCCTGTAATTTAAAAAAAAATACCCAATATCAAAATTTGATCGAATTTGCAATTTTTTTTTCATTAAAAAAAAAAACTTATAAAAAAACAGTAAATTATTTTCTATTTGCAAAATGTTAAAAAAAAAAATTTTCATTAAAATTAAAAAGAAAAAAATTCAGAGTATTTTTTAATTAAAAAAAAAATTCTATTCTTTATTCACACAACTTCATATAACAATATGTATATTGAATTTTTTTTTTTTTTTGATAAAAATAGAATATAGAAGAATACAAACCGAGAAATGTAATTAAAAAATTTTTTTTTTTTATTAATTTCTCCCAGGATATTTTTTAAAATGAAAATATAAGTAATAACATATATCTTTTACTCTACATTTATTTTCTAAATTTTCGAACTCTTTTTTTTAAAAGAGACTGTTTTAATTCTATTTCACAGAAAATATAAATTTTTGAAATGAAAAAATTTTACATTACACTGAAAACGAAATTTATTGGAATCAAATTTATTTGAATTAAATGAACTATATTTGAAACAGATAATTTCTGTATTTGAAACAAATATACAATATAATTGATTCAAATAAAAATAATTTAATTTTAATAACAAAATTAACAAATTAATAATATTTAATCAAAACAAAATTGAGAGCAATAATGGAAGTTATGTGTGCGTGTAACGTCGCACAGTGTCCATAAGAAAAAAGATAAATGAAAAAAGAGAGAGAGAGTGGAAAAAAAATTGTCGCCAATGAAAAATATGGAGCGGGTGTGTTGCGGTGAGCAACAAGTGGTCTCTGATATCGCGTATCAGTGCAACGAACACTGGGGGTGGGAGAAAAGCGGAGGCGGTAACTCCGCCTCCTGGGGGTGGAGTGTGTGTATGTGCATCGAATGCTTTTCACCCTCACTTTCACCCTCCTCCCCCCCCCCTCAAAACTCACGCGCGCGCCATTCCTCATCATCATCATCGTCATCATGATCATCCCCCCGAAAAACCTCCACATGAGAATTTATGTGTATTTGCAAGTTCAGCTTAATTCAATTTATATTTAAATATCAATTTATATAGTTGTCTTATTCAAATTTCATTCATTTTCATTCATTTTCATTCATTTTCATTCATTTAATTAATAATTAAACAAATTTTACAATTATTATTTTTTTATAATTGTAATGTACTAAAGGACAATGGGAAGTAATGAAAATTATAGGTTATGTTTACGATATAGTTTGAAGTTAAAATAATGACGCTGAAGTTACCAACGTTGATTCGACGAATCAACGAACGAATTTTTCGTTTTCAGTTTAGTTTAAAGGCCAAGAACCAATTTTTTTAAATTTAAACTTCTTTATTTTGGTCCCCAATACATCCTTAAACACTAAAAATCCTTAACCAAGGCGGGGAAATATTCAATCTGAGGAAAAAAAAATTCTTTTCGTCGATTCAACGTTGGTAACTTCAGTGTCATTTAAAATATACCCAGATCAAATTATCATAAACATAACCTATAAATTTATTATTAACCTATATTTATTTAAATTAGTAAACTATTTTAATTACAGGTTATGTTTGTGATAGAGGTCAAAGTTAAAATACACGAGCAAAACTATCACAAACATAACCTATAATTATAATAGGTTACTTATAAAAAAGTTAATAATAAATATATATAGGTTATGTTTATGATAGTTGGAAGTGGAAATACACAAGTAAAACTATAATAAACATAACCTATAATAATTTTTAATTTAATTAATTTAATTTAATTTTTTTATAGGTTATGTTTATGATAAATAAATAAAGAATAATAATAATATTAATAATAAAGTATAATTGAAAAATAAAGTTTGGTAGATTATTTGTGTAGAACAAAAAAAAAATGTAAATAATATAGTGAAAAATTCCGTTTTTTTTTTTGGGAAAAAAATTTATGTCGAATGATTAGAACACGTGGTTTATAAAATTAACGGAAATTTGTAAAAGAATGTAGAATTTATGGATAAGCAAGTCTCTTTTATGTCTCTCTAAAGTTAGGGTGAATAAATTTAACTGGCTTTTGCGATGTATATATATATATATATATATGTATGTATGTGTGTATATGTGTAGATTAAGAGAAAAGAAAAAGGTGATCCGGATGACAGTGATATAAAGTTTTGTGTTTTAGTTAAAGCGGCTTGATAAGCAGGGTAATTAATTTTCAAGTATATAAATTGTATATGACGGCGCGTGACCGACATGTTTTAACACACAAGCGACAACGTTGCTGTGTAATTAATAACAAAATAAAGTCCAAGCGACTTTATTTATATATACATATATATATATATATGTATATTTATATATACATATATATGCATAATGAAGACACATCATTTTGTCGCCTCGAGTGCGAAATACTTCTATAATAAAAACCTAACCTTAAAAAAAAGAGTTTGTTCGTATGATTTTTATCAGTATGGTATAATAAACTAAAACCTAACTTTATCTAACATAACCTAACTAAAATCTAAGAAAAACTAACAGTACCTAATTTAACTAAAGCTCAACCTGACTAAAGCCCAAACTAACTAAAACCCAACCTAACTAAAGCCCAAGAAAACTAAAACCCAACCAAACTTAAACCTAACCTAACTAAAACCCAACCTAACTAAAGCCCAAGAAAACTAAAACCCAACCAAACTTAAACCTAACCTAACTAAAACCCAACCTAACTAAAGCCCAAGAAAACTAAAACCCAACCAAACTAGAACCTAACCTATAACTAAAACCCAACCTAACTAAGCCTAACTAAACTAAAACCCAACCTAACTAAAACCCAACCTAACTAAAACCCAACCTAACTAAAATCCAACCTAACTAGAGCCCAACCTATAAATAAAACTTAACCAATCCGTACCTAACCTAACTAAAACCTAATCGTACCTATTTTAACGAAAACTTAACCTAACCGTACTTAACTTAACCTAACTAAAACCTAATCTAACAAAAACCTAACTAAAAAATAATATAAATATATATATAATTTTAAAAAATACAGAAAAAAGCCAAATTCTCCCGTCAGCAAACTCTATATTATCAACACAATGTGATACGATATTTTCCAAGTGAATTGTCACCATGTGTTTTCCTCGCTCACCCTAAACTCTTTCCCCACCTTCACACTATATATACATATATAGTATACCTTAGGCGAAATTCCTTCTTGAAGATCCTAGCGGACATTCTCCTCGCTTTTGGGGGAAAATCGATACATGCTAGGTCTTCGGAGGCGAATATGTGTGACGTCATGAATAACGAAGTCGAGGACGTTGGCTCACATACAAAGTGAGTGCAAGAGAGAGAGAGAGGGAATATACCCTCTCGGAGAGGTAGCAGAAGCAGCAGCCATGGTGTATGCCCATGCTTAGACGTCCTTGCGGTCTTGCCCAGCATTCCGAAACGCCCCTTTCCACCCTATCACTGCTCGGCCGACCATTCCATATCCTTCATCCGCACATTTCCAACTTCCCCCTCCTCCACCTCCTCCTCCCTCTCTATCCTCTTCCTCCTCTCTTCCACCTTCCCTAAACCCCATAACGTACTCTCTCTCTCCTCTTCCACCGACCCCCTTATACCATTTTGGTACCACCACCCCCCTCCTCCACCTCTCGCACTCTCTCTCGCTCTAGTGTATAGTGACCACAAGCGAATGCATCCATGCGTCATCCGCCATGATCTGTGCTTCCTGCTGCTGCTCGCTCGGCGCTTATATGTATGTATATAACATGCACTCACGATTAGTTTATATATATGATGGCCCAAAGCAGATGAAATCATTTGCAAAATTTCTATGGTGGAAATACTGGTACTCTTTGTACACTATTACCCCAATTTTATGTGCAGGTAATGAGGGCATGTTCACGAAAAACACGCAAAAAAAATTTTGAGCTAAAACAGCGATAAGTTTCTCTAACAGTGATTTGTTTCTCTCTAGAATAGCGAAACCTTTCGCTGATTTAGTAAACCTAACTGTATACCTAACCTAACTACAACCCAACGAAATATAACCATACCTATAACCTAATGCAACTGTATTTAACCTAACTAAAACTTAATCGTATTTGTACCTAACCTAACTAAAACGTAACAAAAACTTATCGTATCTAACCTAACTAAAGTCAACCTAACTAAAGCCCAACCTAACTAAAGCCCAACCTAATTAAAGCCCAACCTAACTAAAGCCCAACCTAACTAAAGCCCAACCTAACTAAAGCCTAACCTAATTAAAGCCCAACCTAATTAAAGCCAAACCTAACTAAAGCATAACTAATCTAAAACCTAACTTGACTAAAGCCCAACCAATCTAAAACCTAACTTAACTAAAACCTAACCTAACTGTACCTAACCTAAATACAACCAAACGAAATATAACCATACCTAACCTAACTTAACTGTATTTAACCTAATTAAAACTTAATTTATTCGTACCTAACCTAACTAAAACTTAACCTAATCCAACTGTATTTAACGTAACTGAAACTAAACCTATCCGTAACTAACCTAACTGAAACCTAACGAAAACTAACTGTACCTAACCTAACTAAAGCCCAACCTAACTAAATTCCAATTTAACTAAAGCCCAACTAAACTAAAACCTAACCTTTTTTTGTACACAACCTAAATAAAACTTAACTAAAACCTAACGAAACCTAACCTAATCCAATTGTATTTAAAGTAACTAAAACTTAACTTAACCTAACTGAAACCTAACGAAAGCTAACCGTACCTAAACTTATAAATAATAAATTTAGAAATAAATTATATAAATTTTTATAAGATTATATGTGATAATTAGACTTTTAAAAAATACATGTTTTATAAATATATAAAACCAAAATAAATATTACATAAGAGAAAAAAATAATCGCAAAACAAATGATTCTAAATTTGTATAGTATATATGTAAAAGTTATATAAACTAAAGGGTATAAGAAACGCAGAAGAAAGAAACTTTGTA